AAAAAAAAAAAGAACCTCATTTGAACTGTTCATAATATTGTATGATTCTGATGAGAAGAGCATGGAAAACAAGGAATAAAATTCATGGAAAAGACATCCTCCTGTATATAATTGTTCATTTTTTCTTGCTGCCGGTTTATGATGTATACATAATAATTATGTAAAAATTAACAACAATAATAAAAAGCAAAATATTTTTAAGAAAAAAGATGCATAATTTATAATTACTCTGGAAGAAAATGTAGGGCTAAGAAAGAAAATATAGAAGCAATAGTGCTTTCAGGGATAAAATATTTATATTTTTATCTTAATTAAATATTTTTTTCTTAACACATGCTTACATTTTGTAACTGTATATATGTTATAATGTAAAAAGAATACATAATATATTTTTTTAAGTACTTAAAACAGATTACACACAGAAATAAATATTGATCTAAAAAAAATTAAATTTTCTATATTAGAGGGCTACAGCTCAAAAGCCTCCTCATTCCCCACTAGGAGAAAATCACTTTATTTCCATAAAAGGGTGCTACCCAATTATATTGTGTTGCTACAAACACAGCATACTTATAAATCATTAAAGACAATTTTACAAAACCATGAGTGCAAAACCAAAACCCACCATCTATTCATCGATTTCAGGGCAGCGTATGACAGCATAATATGTGAAGAACTGTGTAATGCCCTCAGAGAATTTAACATACCTGAGAAACTTATACGTTTGATAAAGCTTACCATGAAGAATATGAGATGTATGGTTTGAGTGGATGGCGACAGTTCAGAAGAATTTCGTGCAGGTAAAGAACTCCGACAAGGGTATGCGCCAGCTTTTATGTTGTTTAACCTAGCACTTGAGAAAGCCGTAACAGACGCTGTTTTACACGAACAACAAGGAAACATTTTTACCAGGCTTGTCCAATTTTTGTCCTACGTAAATGATATAGACATTGTGGGACGCTCCCAGCAGGCTGTGACTGATGCTTTTCTGCTACTGACGGATCATGCCAGCAGACTTAAACTGGAAGTTAATGAGTCCCAAACAAAATATATGGTAACAGAAGAAAATTCCACACCAGGCGGGATAGTCACTATTGGGCTTCATAAATTTGAGAAGGTGTCAGAGTTAACTTATCTGGGATCTGTGGTCACATAGAATAACAATCCCGATATTGAAATAAGATGAATGATCATAGCAGCCAACAAGTGCTACTTTGGATTGAGTAAGCAACTAAGCAGCCGGATACTTTGCAGACAGACCAAGCTCCACCTCTACAAGACATTGGTTCTTCTTTATGGATCAGAGTGATGGACAACTTCGAAGGCCACTGAAAAGGAAATTCTTATTTTTGAAAGAAAAGTTCAACGTGTTTTTTTAGAAGTGAAAGTTGAAGAGGAGTGGAAACGGCGTACGAACCAGGAGTTGCACAATGCTTTCGGAGAAACTGATGTTTTAAAGGCAATGAAGTTGAGAAGTTAAAGATATACAGGGCATATTGCCAGGATGGCAGATGGGGAAAATGCCTAAAATATTGCTTATACAACCAATCCATGGAACAAGAAGAGGGAGACAAAAGCTGAGATGGTTGGATGGTGTGGCAGGAGACCCCTGCAGCATGTTGGGAGTTAGGAACTGGATCAGGTCGGCACAAGACCGTGACAATTGGAGGAAACGGTTGGGTGAGGCCAAGACCTGTAACTGAGTTGTAGTGCCGTGAAATAATAATAATAATAATATCTATGATTAATTTTTGTAATAATAAATATATGATAAATTAAGAAAAATATCTCATCATAATTTTTTGTGAATATTATTGTGTTCATTATCACTACTGTAAATACAACTGTATGCATTTTTAAAGGAATAATGTATCGTGATGCAAATATTTGTATTTAGACCAGTAAATTTGCTGTAATATTAATATTTAATTTTTAAATAAGAGTAGTTATGTATACTTTTATGTAAATATAACAATGTTCTTTTCCTCACCTATTAATACAACTATATTCATATTTAAAGGAGTGAATACCTTTAATTGCCTTAGGGGCTTTAAACTCTGAGATTAATCCCCTGCGCTCCGAGCGAAAAAAAATAAAATAAAATCTCAATTTAAATACAAAATCCATTTCACATATAGGGAATCCCTTTAAAAAGAATAATAATAAATTTATATATTAAACGTTTCCAGAACTCGCATATGTATGGAGAGACCAGTACTCGAATATACTTTTCATGAAATAAAATAATAATTTTAGCATGAGTGTAGATTGCAATAAAAGCATGTATTACACTATAGGCAGCTGTATTCATTATTTGGGAAAAACTAGGGAAACTGGTCAAAATCTGAAAAGGAAAAAAAAAAACAAGAAAAATCTGAAAAAAAAACAGGGAAAATCTGAGAACAAAAAAAAACAGGAAAAATCTGAGAACAAAACGGGAAATGTATGGGAATTTTTTGGAGGATAATCGCTGGACACCCTGTTATTAGTAATCACACTAGACAATTCAGCACACAAGTAATTATTCATCTAAATAATCTTCTTGGTTTCTTCTTATCGCGACCCCAGGTGTGTAATAAAATTACTGTATCGATAATAAAATCATTATTATTAGTACTCCTACTACCAACTTGAAACAAAGGGTGAGGCGAGTCTACGAGGTTATGCTGCTATGCTATAGAATCTTTCTAAGAGTTTAGGATTTATTATTTTTGGAATTTGATTTAACTGTTTATAACAGTAGAGCTCAAACTGATAGGAATTCAGGCTTAAGATAATAAGGCTTAACATTAGATTTGAGAAAGAAACTGATATTTGTAATATTTTGAGTTTTCACAGCATTTTATCTTAATTTATTTAGGTTCACAGAATCACTGATTGAGTTTAATGTTTGGGTAATTTTTTTTTAAAAACTCACCTACTGAAAAATTCAGTAGAAACACTGTGAATTATATATATGTGGCTTTTATGTATATAGCATTTCCAAGTCAATTTCAACATTTCCAAGTCAACTTCAAAACTTCAACCTTTTCCAAATCAAATTCAACTTTTGAATTTTTGTAAATTTTCAATTTTTTTTTCTTTTAGAAATAAGGGTCCCTTACTATATTATCGAAGGCTTAACTTTTGAAAAATACAAAAAAAATATGGTAACGCCGTTGCATATCAATTTATAGTTATTTTACAGATTTCTTCAGTATTATATTTTCATGTCATATTCAATTTATTTCAAGTCAAATCGAACCTTTTCCAAATCAAATTTAATCTCTTCAATGTCAAATTCAATCATTTCCATTTCCAGTTAAAGATTTTTTTTTTTTTAATTTTCCAATATGAGGGTTTATTATTATGCTCCTGTAAGCGGAGTTTTTCAAAATACCTTCGATTTTATGTTACACTAACAGATATCGATTTATTGTACCTATTCGGATTTATTCGATATAATGGTCTAATATTATGTTATTGCATGCGTAGTTTTTGAAAATAATCTCCATTTTAAGAGTACGCCACTATGTTTCGATTTATTTAACTGTTCGGATTTCTTCGATACAAGCGTCTACTTACATGTTATCAGGGACGTACTTTTTGAAAATAATCTCCATTTTAAGATTACTCCACTGCTTTTTGATTTATTTAAGTTTTCGGATTTCTTCGATGTAAGGATCTATTTATAAGTTTTCGGAGGCGTAGTATTTTAAAATAATGTTCATTTTATGATTTGCCATCAAATCTCAATTTATTTTATTTTTTTTCTGGATACAAAGTTTCATCAATATGTTTTCAAGTATAAATAAATATTTATGAAGTTAAAGAAGATATTTACAAAATGGTTAATTAAACCACAAAACACATAGGAGCTAAACATAAAGCTGAAAAAGCAAATTGTAATGAAGTTAACCAACTATTTATAAATTTTACAGTTAATTGTTCAAAATTTGTAAATTATCATTTTTCAAGAATAAATAATATTAAAATATTTTTTTATTTATTATAAAATATAAATAAATCCATCTTATATTTTTAATTATACTTTTTCTGCCAAATATTTCTCATTACTCTATAGTATAAAAAACAATATTACATATACCTCACAGGTCAGAATTGTTATTTTTATCTGAAAAATGATACAAAACTAAAATTGCGTATTTGAGGTTTTTATAAGCGTGGGATGTTATACCCCTAATTGGCAAACCGTAAGAGGTACTTTATATTGTCGATTTAATACATTTTTACGATTTTCTCAGAAAAGGCTCTTGCAATTTTGATTAAATTCAGTATATCAATGTATTATTAAATAGTTTTTAATATACTGTAGGTTTTATTCTCATTGGTGTTCTCTAACATGGCTTGTATGTCTAATTTTCAACATTAGCTTCCTCTAAAGTACCTCTATTTTTTAAGTTTGAAATAATTAATCTTTTCAAATTAATCTTTGATATAAAAAGTAGTTAAATACAAAATATGAAAGAATTTGATCATTAACTAAAGGAGAAGTAAGAAATTGTAACGAATAATAGTTGGAATGGAGGAACCAAAGAAAAGAGACGAGCGCGCCCAAGCTCATCCAAAAGATTAGAACAGGCTTCCATATGTGACATGAGCTTAATATAATATGGACTCCGACAATATTATGTTCATATTCATATGAGGTTTTCATAAATGTTATTGGTATTATTTAATATTAATTGTATAGATTACAGTGATATAAATATTAAAATTTGTGTATATAAAGGTAATGAAACAAATAAAGTTACCTACACTGAAATGTAAATAAATATAGCATCTATAATTTTTACTTTCACTTCCCTTTGTCTGAAAATACTTATTTCTGTTGAGAGGGTGGTAAGTGAAAGTCGTGTGATGACAGATTTTGATGACTTTCCAATACTTTTTTTTTCTTTACTGCTTTGTTGAAACCTTTTTCCTGTTTTATTTTCAATTATATACTAATACTTTATATTTTTTAAACCATAAGTTAATTTATTGATTTTAATGATTAGAAAAGGATTGAAAAGGAGTATATATCAATGTTGGAATCCATTCTTGCTACGCCTTACTTCTACTTTTCATATTCCTATGACCTTTCTCACACAGTTCAGAGATTGCATAATATATCACCAGACTTTTTAAAAGTGAGTATTAAGTATTCTTGATTTAATAACATTTAAATAAAACAATAACTTAAATTTTTTTTTCATAGATGCCTATGTACCAGAGAGCAGAGCAGAAGTTTGTTTGGAATGAATATCTTTTATCTGACTTTGCCAAAAACTCAGGGGTCTCTAGATTCTGCCTTCCAATCATTCATGGCTGTATCCTTTCTTTATTTTTAGGAATAAAAATATTTAAGCTTATAAAATGGTTATACTAATCATGACTAATTTTGTTTTCTGTGATTTTGTGACCCAAACAGCCTATTAAATAAAAATTTGTAATTTATACAAATTACAGTACATTTTATTATTCACAATGGCAAAAAGACGGTGACAAAAATTTACTACGCGCTTGACTGAACAGTGAGGGTATGGACAGGTCATGTGCGGCATTTAGTGACCTGCATTTATGCACTCTGTATATATTCCATAGTCATCTTGCAGTGAAAATTCTAGGCACTATAAAGCAGTTCCTGACTTCCAGTCACATTCAAATTCGTAGATAACGTTTGTTTTACCTCTTATTTACAGAGAAATATTTTCTTATTGGAGTATTATAGAAATGCTTTATAATATTCTACAATTTTAATTTTAATTTTTTTAGTACCCATTTTTTATTATGTTATATTATTGATTTGGTTACTTAGTATTATTAATTTTCATAATTGAAAAGGATAAACCAATGAATGTATGAAAATGAGTGTATGAAGTGCCTACGGATATTTTTACAGAAATAAGACAGACTTGGAATAGTTTTAAAGATGAACATGCGTTTAAGAAGTATTGATGAAAAGCTACTCCCGGTTCAGCAGGGAATCCTTTGAATTAGAGACAAAATAATGTATTAAAGTATAAATAAGTTTCATAGGCTAAAACCTGCCCTAAATCTGCAGCCTATAAAATTGAATTAACCCCAACTGTATCAGAGCCCACCAACCAACAAGTATAACCAACAGTGAGTTGGAGTTGACTCGATTTTATTGGCTGCAGATTTTAACTGATGAAACTTGTTTAGACTTTAATACTATATTTTATTTCTTATTCAAAGGATTACCTGCTGGACCAGGAGTAGCTTTTCATCAGTACTTCTGAAACGCATGTTCATCTTTTTAACTATTCTAGGTCAATCTTATTTCTTTAACAACAATATCTGTAGCCATTTCCATGCACAAATGCTTACCCTTATAATATTAAGTAAGTAGGTTAATAATATAGCATTATAAATAATGGGTATTAGACAAAATTAAAATTAAAATTGTAGAATATTGTAGAGCATTTCTATAATATTTACTATTAGAAAGCATTTATTTGTAAATAAGAGGCAAACAAAAAGTTATCTATGAATGTAATTGTAACTAGAAGCCAGAAACTGTTTTATAGTGTCTAGGATTTTCACTGCAAGATGACTATGGAGTACATATAGAGTGATGGCTGGGTAGAATATCAGTTGCTGTTATGTTACTTAGTAACATACAAAAACAAATTACAAATACTTTAAAACAAGTGTTTGCTCTTTTATTGCTGAAATACAAGAGAGTAGGTGTACTTTGATTTCATAGGACATAACACTCTGGGTTTTTATAATTGTGATATATGTTATTGAATTTTTTTGGAAAACATTAATATTTGTTTGCTCTTTTATTCTTTTTAAGTATTAGGTTACTATTTAAATTAATGATAATGTTCTAATATCTCCTCTTAAATTTTTTTGTTGCTTCTTTTTTTTTTTTTGTGCAATATTAACACAATTCTTACTTAATATAATTTAATTATTTTATTTTACACTTTATGTTAATATTCTTTAATAGTTAGTAGATCTTTCAATTACATCTTGCATTTTAAATGGCAAAACCTTCAGTCTCATCTTAGTCTCCAGAAGATCTAAGGATAGAGCTGGGACCAGACTATTTACTAGAGGAATTGACTCTAATGGAAATGTTGCTAACTTTGTTGAGACTGAACAAATTGTTGAGGCAAAATTTGAGCGTGCTAGTTTTGTCCAGGTAAGCTCCTTGTTGGTAACTTATCTTATCTATATTAAAAGTCTTCTCCATTTCATATATGTAACATATTAAGGTCTGTAATGTGCTATTTTGTGGAAAGAATAATTTGTTGAATCATTTACAAATTATTCAAGAGATTGAATGACAAGCGCACTATTAAACATATACTAAAAAAATATATGTCAATAAAAAACTTAGGTAATCGATTGAAATGAATTATAATGTCTCCCTTTTTCTTTCTTTTTTATCTTACATTAGCAAACATTTTCTGTTTCCAATATAGACTGGGGCCCATTTACATCTACAGTGTACCTCCTCCTGGGTTCCTTTCTGATGGTTTTCCTGCCACCCAAAGTTCAAGTTTATCTTAAGGTTTCTCCTTTATCTAGGCTACTTGGCCATTTGAGACCATCGGTAATTCTTTGATTCTGCAGTCATATTGAACCATGTAATTAGCATTCATAATTGGACCACTCATTCTGGAAGCTTAGGTTTCAAGAATCGCAGGCTCGTGGGTAGACACAACCTCATTCTCCTGATCTTTAGAAGTTGTGCTGGACGTTAGGCAATGCCTGGTAATGGTGTATTCCTCAGTTCAAGTAGAGGACATTCTGAAATTCTGTTTTGTCCTCACGCACTTTCTTCAGAAAATTCTAAAAATTTTACAGCTGATTCAGCCTTTCTGTTTGGTTGATGATGATATGACGAAGACAGTACCATCCGAAATTGCCAATCTTTGGATTATTGAATAGTGGACCATCATGGGAGGGTCACTAGCTCAGGCAACTGTTTCAGACACACCGTCAGCTGCCTGCAGATCAATCTGTTTTATAGCATGGAAGCTTATGGCGTGCTATAGCAGTATTTAAGAGGTAAGAAAATTGATATTGTTTTGATTCAAGAACATTGCCTGTAGATATAGCATCATTGGAGTGTTTGAACGTCCGAGAACCTGTTAGTCACGTAGCTATGGCAAAAAACGTGTTTTGTTTCATACTAAGGTTTGATCATATAATTTGACCATGTGCAAATCCCTCAAAAGAAAAATGCACATCTGCCATCATATAGCTGATGGAATAGAAAATGGTGGCCAGATGAATACGATAGTATTTCTGTATAAAATTACCTATTTCATATTAAAACATAAAAGTTATAATAGATACTAGGTCACATCCTCATATTAAAACTAACCATCTGCCAACAAATACTCGCTGTATACGGGGGGGCAGATGCGACTCAAAACATCACCTTTTTGAACGTCAAACATTTTGTTATTAAATTCTGCATGAAACTTGTTGGATTCAAATATAGACTCAAAAGGACCAAAAGCACGCATCAGCCAACAAATATCTGTTGGATACTCTCGGCAGACGCGTCTCCAAATCCCACCTTTTAAACGTCTATCATTTCTATCATTAAATTCTGCATGAAACTTGTAGCATTTTAACATAGACTCCAAAAAGGATGAAAAGCACACCTCTGTCAACAAATATTCACTGGATAAACAAGGCAGACGCATTCAAAATCTCACCTTCTGTTTCCGTGTTTCTCACTTCTTTTACTAAATAATCTATAATCATTGTCCATCATACGCATACAACCTCCTTAAATTCAAGTCATCTATCCACTCCCTCTCCACAAGATCTCGTCCTTCTGACCTTTATACCCCTTTCCACAAATCTACCTCATTACAATACTCCTTTATTGTCTGCTCCACCACTTTTTGGAATTCTACCCCACTTAAAATCTGCCATGCACCATCCTTATCCATATTTAAAACCCTCTTATTCCAATCCCCCCTTACAATTCAATCAGACGCTGGGTAGTTATTTATTATGTAACAAGGTTTCATTTTTCTATATACATCATATATTTTCTTTTATGAGTATGGAAAAGATTTCGTCACTTTCCACTGAGAATTGTTTTTTTTTTTCTATTTATAAGATTTTTAGTCTTTGAGAAGTATTTAATTGTTTTCTAATATTGAACGCACTCCTCTATATGTACATTATATTTTTTTTATTTTATTTTGTTTTCTCCTATCAATCTACATCTTAGGATATAGATTATATAAGACTTTTCTAATGTTTACAATACCATTATAAGTATTCATTTGAACATATTAAGGTACAGACTTAAATCATTTATTTTAAATATTTATCTACTTTATTATTATTATTTTTTTCATTGCTACAATGGTTTGACAACAAAAGTAATTTATCGTTCTTTTCCAATTTCATTTAGTTATTTGATTGATTTCTTCCTCGTCTGGGGGTTCTACCTCTTCACCACCTGCAATTGGATCATTTGCCTCTGAGACATTTGTGCCATTTCTGTTAAGAAGGGTTGAAAAGTATTCAGTCCATCTGTCCGAAATGCCTTGTTTATTAGTTAACAAAGAACCATAGTTTGTTCTGCATTCTGTGATACAGGCTATGAAGGGCTTTCTTCCTTTATTAACAACCTGGAAGAATTCTCTAGTATTTTTGGAGATAAAGGCCTCTTCTATCTCCTGTAGACTCTTATTCTCTCATCGTCTCTCTTATTTTCACAATTATAAGATAGTGGTCCGAGGCAATGTTAGCCCCTCGTTTTGTGCGCTGACGAATACATTATCGATCTGAGAGCTTGTAATAGATCCGTTCAGTCCGAATTTCCTCCATGTTTCTAGATGCACTAACTAGTGCGGGAAACAGATACTTTTCACAACCAAATCCTTAGAGGCTGCGAAGTTCACCACCCTTTTTCCATTGTCATTGGAGTTCTCATGAAGGCTATTTCTTCTTATAGGAGGCCTAAAGGCTTTCTCTTTTCCAATTTGAGCATTGTAGTCTCCAATCACTATTTTTATATCATTGGCAGGGCAGTTATCAAAGCATTTCTCCAGTTCCTCATAGAATTTGTCTTCCATTTCATCATCAGAGACTTCTGTAGGCGCGTGTACTGATGCTGACATTGTGGAACTTTCCCTTGATGCATAAGACAAAGAGTATGGGGCTGATAGGCTTGAAATCTATAACTTGCTGGATCACTCTTTTTCCCACAATGAATCCATTCCCAAACGAGTGTAATTGGTCATCATGACAGCTGTAATAAATGGTGTGCGCTTGCCTTTCTTAAGTATTTTAGAGTACTTTTCTTGAGAAAAATAAAAACAATTGTCTTCTCGTTTACCCGCAATTAATGCATTTACCTTTTCAAGAAAAAGGTCATGATTTACTGCTGTATCCATTCAGTGTAAATTACAGTATCGGAAAAAAAATTAAGAAAACATTGCTCGCATCATCAAAGCTTGCATAAGACTGACAAAGCTGACTGACTCACAGCAGAACAAAGTTGCGTCTTTGTCATCTTCTCTCTTTTGGACCTCCACCAGAGCGTATCTGTGATTGTCGGCATACACCGGTGAGGGTCCGAATGTACAAGAATATAATGAAATATTCGTTTTTTCACCGACTTATTTAGTATGTGTTGACATTCACCTATGAAAGTAGACATTCTCCAATTTCGGTCTTTTACGGTAACACACACACACACATATATATATATATATATATATATATATATATATATATATATAGTTTTAATAAGAAATCAGATTAACTTCTTTTTATCTAGTGTCCATATTCATTTAGTTCACTAGTTATTTTCCTTTGATGAAGAAAGGTAGCTCAGTAAATAAGATTCTATTCTCTAGGTCCTGGGTTCAACTATCTACGGCAGGTAATTATTTATTCTGGTTCACCAACCATGAATTAGCTCTTGGGTCAAGGCACACCCAGTCTCGATAAAGAGGGTTCTCTTATTTAAGGTGAAAAACTTGGTGACTAAGTGTGAACTTTACGAAATCATCTCGTTGTGCAATTGTTGACCAACAAACATGGGTTGTAGTGGTATAGGTTTTATTTCCCTTTGCTTAAGATAATTGTTTATATAAATTAAACACTGATAGTGAATCTGTTATATTTTTAAAATAGAATTAAGATTTAACTTTAATTATTTCAATTATTCTTTAGACACGAGGTTCTATGCCATTCTTCTGGCAGCAGTACCCTAATCTGAAACTGAAACCAAGGCCTAGTATAATCCAAGAGGAAAATCATACTGCTGCCTTCAGTAAGCATTTTGAAACACAGCTGATGGACTATGGGAGACAAGTTATAGTGAATTTGGTCAGTATAAAACCAAAAGTTACAAATTAAGTTCTTTAATTGTTACATTCAAGTGTTAATACATGTCAGTTTTCTTAATCAATTAAATTATATTAGTACCTACTTTATTTATTTAATAAAATTGAAGTGTTTGGATCTATATGTTAAAAAAAGTTATTTTGTTGGAAAATTATGAAAATTTAAATTGTTATAATAAAATTATATTATATAGGATTTTTAGGTTTTTCGTAATCAATTTATAAACAAACTTTACACAAACAAATTAGTTATTAAGAAAAAGTTAATTTATTAGAAAAAAATTTCATAATTTTGTTATGAAGAAATTCATCTTAACATACAAAATAAAAAGAAAAAATGAGCCGACTTAAGGGCTGACTGATCTAATATTTATGGAATATACTTGATTAATAATTAATTTTGTTTTCATACATAATTTTATATTATTTTACACTTAAAATTAAACCAATAAAAACAAATATTTAAAGTACCACTTTAAAATTATTATTTATTATTTTGATGTTTTCATATCGTACTGCTGCTGGTAAAGATAGGGAACGAATCGGGCAAGTGGGCCTTGCAGTTCGTTTTACCAACCCCAAATAAGATATACCAATGGAGACTATTTTTCCTCCATCTCGAATGTTTTCCTTTTCCTAATGAAATTCAAAAGGGATGGCCAATCACTGGAGAAAACCTTCTGTTCTAAGATTCTATCAAAACTTGTGATGCATAATAGTCGCATTCTGCTGCATAATGTAGGACAGTTTCTGGCGCCTTCCCGCACAAATAGCAGGTTTCATCCCTTGCTACCCTTCAGATCTTTACATGTCTTTTGAATCTGCAATGGCCTGTCAGTGCTCTGATAGTTAATAAAAGTTCATTCTTGATTCTAAGCAGCCACTTGTTTTAGATAGAAAGTGAGGGTTTTTTAGTGTATTGTTTGGCTTATCAACAATTTTCTATTAAGACGTTAGCGGCGGTAACGGTCCCTGGGTTCTGATGTTCGTCTCGACTTCGGTCGAGATTGTTTCCAATTTTACCTATCTTACGAAGTCTCTAAACTGGTCATTTTTAAAAATATTTGAATGGGAGTTGGATAGATGTAAAGATAAATGCAAATGTAAATAATCATTATATCTGATATAAAGCTATTCGGGCGCCGGGTACCTTATCTGCACCTAACGTGTTAAAGAAAATAGAACATATAAAAAAAGAAAATTTATATTCTAATGCAATGAAAATTTTGTGGTTTTAAGAAAAAATATATCATTACTTATGTTAATGCTCACATTATTAATTTCTTTTATTTATTATTTTTTATTAATCTCTTTTAATTAATAAATTGTTTTGTTTTATTTTCAATAAGTTTTAAAGTTTAAATATTTAGAAAAAATAAATAAAATAAAAATGAAATCAGCTGTTTTAGATTGTTGTGTAATGTATTATAGTGATTACAATCAGTGTATTGTAATCCTGCATATATAAAAGTGTCATGTTTTAAGTTGTTGTAAGTCCGTGGACTTTGTCAACAAAGGGAGGATGCCTCAGTCCTTTATAAGTCTATCCTCCTTTCTTTTTAAAACCCTGGAGAAGTTCATAGTGATATATCTAACAAGGAAGGTGTTACCACTTAATACCCTTCATCAAAATCAACATGCTATGTAAGTCTATTGAAACTTCCCTTTATTCCCTAGTGAGGAAAATAAAAAAGGCCTGGTCATTCAAAGATTCCACGCTTGGTCTCTTTTTTGATGTTGAAGGGGCTCTCGACAAGACAGGGCTAGAGTTAAGCTTTAGTAGATTCATCTGCCTCCAATATTATAACTAACTGGGTCAGATTCATATTAAAAAAATAGAATTATTGTTGTTTCAGAAGAAGGTATCAGACTATTAGCATAGTATCCTACAGTATCCTTTAACAGTTCCCCACTTATCCTTAAACTAATCCATTACCTAGGACTTCACCTGGACAAATGACTCACATGGAATCCTCATACAAGACTGAAACGAAAAGAAACCGCTCGACGTTTCCGACTACTCCAGCACTTACTATACAAACACTTTTTTTTTTTTTTCTAATGTTAGGCCGGGGCACGTCGACCCCTAATGGATCCATTGTGCGTCAGTTTCAGTTAGTCTTTATTTTAGTCACTTCCGCGTATCTAAGTAGGCTGGTTGGAATGACCGACTCATATCTACTGGGGAGATCCATTCAAATCCATACAAACACTCTTAGCTTTCAATCAATAACAAACGACTCATATAGATGACAAAAATAAGACCTATTTGGACTTACAGAATTGAGCTTTGGGGCTCCACTAAACCATCAAAATCCTCTTGTATCCAATCCTTACAATCCAAAATCCTTCGTAAAATCCTCGACGCTCCTTACTAGGTCACAAATAAAATCATTCATAATGACCTTAATGTTCCATATGTTTCCGATTTGGCCCAATCCAGATACCTATCCTTCCATAATAAACTTCAGAACCATCCAAACCCTCTCATTTTAAACCTTGCTTCCTTCTCGATCCCTGATAACCCTCTGAAGCGTCTGAAAAAAAAAGTGGCCTCATGATCTTCTTATGTAAATTTATTATTTGAGTGCTACCAGTGGGTAGTTTCTCAACAAGCGATTTCATGTTATATTCCTGAGTGCACATTTACTAGATGTATCTTTTTTTTTATAGTGCACTTGTAAATATCAATGAATAAAAAAAATTTATGATTTAGATAGTACTTTACATTAGTTTTAAATATCTTTTTTTTTTTTTTACTTTTTCTTCAATTTGTCAGTTCAACTAATGGAGGCTACATTAGAACATTGGAACCTTGCATTAAGGAGCATGTATTTAAATTGAAAGGAAAATGGTCAAAAAAATACTTGACAATTAGGCTGGGCGATAACCTAGGGAATAAAACATTTAAAGATTAAAGCCCTTTTAATGTTTGTAAATTTGTTGAAGGTTATAGTCCAGAGGTGATTATAAAATTTTTGAAAAATGGTACAATCTTAGTGAAAGTAAAAAACGAAAAAGATTTTGTAAATTTAGATTATATTAAAACATTTCAAAATATCTCAATTTGGTTTTCATTACATAAATCTCTTAATTTCTCAAGCCTACATCCCAGAATTATTAATCTTTTCTGAGGATGAAATATTGTCAGAATTCGAGAATCATGTGGTTGTAAAAGTAATAATTTTTAAAAAAGATTAATAAGGGAAAGCTAACCCTTTATTGATTTTGACTTTCAAAAAAAGTGAACTGCCTGAAACAGTTATTTTAGATTTCTTGTCAATAAAAATTAGACTGTATGAACCCAAGCAACTACTTTGTTTCTCTTGTTACAAATATAGACAAATGAGGAAATATTGTAATGTAATTAATTGTGGGAATAATACACACAGTTCAGATAAATAAAATAATCGGATTTCAAAATGCCTCAATTGCAAGGATGAACATCATGCATAAAGTACCAAATGTCCGGTGTATAAAAGAGAGAAAAGAATCAACAAGATCCGAATGCAAGAAAAACTGTCTTATAGCAAGCCGAGTTAATTATTAGATGGCTAAAAGCAAGTAGTATTAGTATATATAAGAATGCATCGCGCCCTCAAGAAGGCTTATTGTGGGTCATCCTAGACTCAATGAAAACAGGCCAGATGCCTTTGCAAACCTGTTAACACTAATAGAATCAATTAGTTCGCAGTGCTTAGGGTCAGTGATACGATCAAATCCAAAGTGAAAGTATCGCACTCTAGCCAAATTATCACATCTACAGATAATGTGTTAGGCTGTTTCATCCTCCAGGCCACACAGCCTGCAGGTGGAGGTCTCACACACAAATTAAAGAGGTGCTTATTTAGTTGACAGTGACCAGTATACAGTCCTGTCACACACCTAATGGTGCTCCTGTCCATTAGAAGAAGTGATTTACTTCTCTTGTGACAGGGCCCCAGTAGGAACTACTTAGAATGAGTTTGTTTCCTAGTCTGTTCCCAATGTAGCCTTAATTTATTACCCACGATTGCCTTATTATGCCTTTTGGCAAAGCCAAGGCTTATCCCACAGGTGGGCTGTGGTGTTACCGCCACTTGTGCAGAGCCTTTCCTAGCAAGGCAATCGGCTTTCTCATTTTGTGGAATGCATGAATAACCAGAACAACCATTCTACCCTCACCTTGTTGCTACTATATCAAAGAACGTTAAGATTGCCTTTACATTCATCCACCAACTTAGAGGGAGTTGCATAACTATTCAGGTCCCAATTGCCACTTGACTATCTGTATACATTGTTATCAATCTATTCATAATGCCCTATCTTATAAGTAATTGAGCACAGAAATCGATAGCTAGAATCTCGGCTTAAAAGACCTCATTAGGTTTATCCTTTCTCCAGACGCCAGCCCCTGATCCTTGTTCCATCAAGAATCCATCGGTATAAAACTTAACTCCATTGCACGGTCTATGTGAATTATTGAATAGGCAATCAGCTCTTTTACACCATTCAAAAGAAAAGCTGGTACTGATGGGATTTTCCCGGCCCTTTTACAAAAAAGTCTATCTGTGATTAAATACTATCTTTTGGAGTTATTTAGGGGAGGTTTAGCACTTGAATATATCCCTAATAGGTGGAGGGAAGCAAGAGTTTGTTATATACCTAAGAATGGGGAAGAGTCCTATGACAATCTAAAAGCATACAGACCTATATGTCTCACTTCTTTCCTGTTGAAAGCATTGGAAAAGATTATGGATAGACACATTAAGAACACTACATAAGTAGAAAAACCGCTACATTGTGCCCAATTTGCCTATCGAGCCAGCAAATCCTGTGAGTGATGCAACGCTGTACTTGGTTTCTATAATCGAGAAAAGCTTATCGCAGAAAGAGATCATGGATGGTATCTTTGTTGATATTGAAGGTGCCTTTGATATGAAACAATGGACTAATTCACTTCAGAATGGACTAATTTGGTTCTGAGGGGAAGAGTCCTTAAATCTGAGCTGTGACAATCCGTAATGTGGTTATGTGTGGTAATGTGCCCGTGCTTTTGGCAGCATTAGTGAGTTTTCTAGTTGAGGCTCTTAGCTTGCCAAGTTCATGGTTCCAGCAAGAAACATTCTTGTTGGACCTAACATTTCTGTCACAGTTATTGTCAGTGTAAAACCTCATAATTGCCTCAGACAATGAGGAGTTTAGGCATTCCAAATGCCATGAATTTCTAATAGTCTTAGGACAGCATTTGACTTCTTCCTCGAGCTGTATACAGTATCTATCCCAATTTGTGCGTTTTGGGTTTCTGTATATTGTCTCAGTCACATTTTATCCAGACTAATCAAATCTGATATAACGGTGATCAGAGCATGATTCTTTATCTGAGACATGCCACCCACGTATCCTAGAACTCAAGCAATGCCTGCCTAATGTTATGTCTATTACTTCCGAATGGATTCTATTAAGTTAGGCTGCAACATTGGCCCTATTTAGAATCAAAATGGCGAAGCTACTTAAATACTCTAAAAGAAACTCACCTCTCCGGTTGTTATGTTTTGGAAGGGAAAGAAAAGGAAGCTTGGGAAGCGTTCAAGAGAATTGTTCATGAATTTTCAGGCAACAAAAGAGATAATAACTACATACATTTGGTCCAAGGTTATGGTACATTCTGCAAAAGTACCATAACCTTGGATGCAACATGTCCCTTAAAATACATTTTCTCCACTCCCACCTAGACTTTTTCTCTCCTACTTGTGGAGTTGTTAGTAATGAACATGGAGAAAGATTCCATCAGGATATTTCTGTTATGGAACAAAGACATCAATCAGCGGCCATTGGAATTGAGCAATGCTTGTGGATTACGGTAGGTCTTTGTATAGGGCTGCTCCAGAACTCCCTTACAAGGAGCAAACTAAAAGACAACGATCTCATGAAGCCACCACATAATCTCTTCAGACACGACCATCTGCGTAATATTTTTCCAGCAATTTAGAACTCTTAGAATGTAACTACCATTTTGAAAAATCAAGTGCACTTTCAATATTGTTAGCATATATAATTGAAATCTCTTTCTCTTAACCTCCTTAACATCAAATACTTGCATCTAGTTTATATCACAGTAACTAGAACTAAGAAAAATTTTTCATTATCATATTCGTTTTTCTCAACCCAAAATTAGTAAGAATTGACTCATGAAGTGCTGGAAACATTCAAAAATTTGTTTTTTGTTGCCGAGTGTTAGTGGAAGGAGAGGACAAAAAAAAAAATGGTGAAAGTCTACGATAAAATAAATATAGGGTTATGAGGCTGACATATCAGTCTTTACTCAAATTTATGTTTATTTCGATTCCTTGGCCATTGATTGGCACATTTATTAACAATATAATTAATGTTCCAAGTGAAACTGTATGAATTTTCGGTGTTTGCTCAAATAAGGGAAAGGGAAACATCCAAAAAAAAAAAAAGATTATGTTATCAGGCCGATATATCGGTCTTTGCTCAAATTTATGTTATTGTCGATCTCTTGACATTCAATTGATACATTTATTAATAATAAACATTATATTCCAAGTTTGAATCTTGATAAAATATGGTCATAAGGCCGATATCTTCTCTTATGAGGGGAAGGAAGGACTAAAAAAGTAAATAAATAAAGTTCAAACAATTGTAAAACTCTACCAATTTCCATAAAATGAAGTCATCAGGTCGGTAATTTCGAAAATTTTGTATGCGACTTTGTACGAAACTTGACATACACAGAACGAAAGGTTGATATCCCGAAATATAGGTTTATTGCTCTTTTATCGGTCAAAATTTGTGTATAGGCTGGTTTGTAGTTGGTCAATTTGTTCTCTTATTTAGCAATAATTTGAATATTCCATGTGAAACTGTACAAACCTTGACGGAAAGGGGAAAAAGAACAATATATAGGTATTAGCAAAATTTTTGTTTGTGTCATTCTTTTTTAAAAAAATATTTTTATCGAACACTTAAACCATAATTTTTAAGCATGTATTTGCCAAAAAATTGTGCGCACGACTTTATAAATGTGTAATTTTGCTTGGTTTACGAGTGCTGGTCTTTGTTATTGGCCATTCTTATATGAAATGAAAACGATTTTTTTTTTTATTTTGGTTCTTTTAATTTATTATTTTACTTTATGTTTTGTAAGGTTGACCATTCTGGCTCTGAGGGCAAGCTGGAAGGATTCTATAGAAAACTAGTGAATGAAGCAAATAATCCCAATCTGAAGTAAGTAGAATAATTGTAGATTTTATATTTGTATATTATTTTTGTTAACTCTGATGAAACTCTTGTATGTGTACCATATTTTATGTTAAAAAGTTATGAGAGTCAGAAATTTTGTTTTTATCAATATAGTAATGGAGAAGTACAAATTAAAAAGAAATTTAAGGGATGGTAATGACAAAAATGGATATAGAATGAACATTTAAATTTTGCCGGGATAGTAAACCATAGCCCTAAGCTCTTCATACCTGTGTATGGCTATAATATAATTCTCCAAATGAACGTGAAACTCCTCTCCAGAGTCCAAATTCGAATCCCAATGAATAATAATGGGCTTATGTTGATTCACAGTTCGGACATTAAAATATATTGCCAGTAAAACTAAATTGTTTAAGGAATAGAGAAAATATTGTCCCAATTGGCTTCTAAGTTGATCCAATCAATGCCTAAATAGTACTCAAAAACAAAGGACTGCATTCAAAATATTAATTTAAAAATTTTGATTATAATAAATAATGAAATTACTGCATAATAGAGCTATATATGAAAACTTTTGCTGCATTAGAATTCTTATTTTATACTTTAATTTGTATTAAATATATATATATTTATTGTTAGGCAAATATTTTTGAGAAAATTGATGAGAGTGGTATTGAAGTTAAAATTAGGCTTTAAAATAAAAAAATATATATATGTAGGAAATATAGACAGAATCGTTCGACTATTGATCAAATATTTTCTTTACGGCAAATATTACAGAAAAAAATTAGAGTACAACGGTATTGTTCACCAGCTGTATATCGATTTTAAAAAGGCTTACAATTCTATTGACTGCCAGAAACTGTATAACATACTAATTGAGCAGAGGATTCCAAAAAAAACTAGTAAATCTAGTCAGGATGTGCTTGACGGAAACACTCAATAAAGTTAGAATCTGTAATAATCTGTCCAAAAAATTTGAGGTTCGTTCGGGTTTAAAACAGGGGGATTCCCTTTAGCCTGTCCTGTTCAATTTGGCATTAGAACATGCCATTATGGAGGTATTTCAAACCGAAAAAGTGTTGGATCTGGATGGCACAACACCCATGTTGGGCTATGCGGATGATCTGGTACTGTTAAGCGAAGACGTGGAAACTATGAAACTAAATATGACAACGTTAATTAAAGCCGGTAAAGAACTAGGACTCGAAATAAACGTGGATAAAACAAAATATATGGTTAGCTGCAAAAATGGCAATACTACTGGTGATATAGATATAGATGGTAATATGTTTGAACAGGTAGAGAAATTTAGGTATCTAGGTTCTACGATAACTAGAAAAAATAAAATCAAAGAAGAGATTAAGGTTAGACTAGAGGTGGGAAATGCTTGTTATGTTTCTGTGACAAAACTACTTAGCTTGCGCCTTTTGTCCCGGAACTTAAAAATTAGAATCTGTAAAACCATTATCTTACCTACAGTTCTTTATGAATGGGAAACATGGCCGCTTACATTAAGGGATGAGCAACATCTTAAGGTTTTTGAAAATAAAGTATTGCGCAGAATGTTCGGACCGAAGAAGGATGAATTAATGGGAGAGTTCAGATGGTTACACAATGCTGAATTGCGTGAACTATATCCGGGTAATATAATTGAAATGATTTCATACCGGCGAATCAAATGGGCTTGTAAAATTGTCGGGCTTAGTAATGAGAGAATTCTTAAAAGGTTAATATTTGCTTTACCACATGGTAAACTTCTGAGAGGTAGATCGAAGCGAAGATGGGAAGATTGCATTAAAGCCGATCTGAAGGGACTGGGTTTGGATGGCGAACTGTGGAGGGAGGTGTGTAATAAGCGATTGGTGGTGTCTGCATCGAACCTTCGGGTTCGCTAAGCCTTTTATTATTATTATTATATGTAGGAAATAATTGTTGTTGATTTTTTTCATCTCCTATCATTCCATATATGAAAACTTTTGTTGACCACAATATGTGTGTGTGTGTGCGTGCATGTTATTGCTATATTATGTTTTATATTGCCAACAATATAAATGTCTATCCAATATCAGCCGGTATTTACACCTCTCCCATAAATCATTTTTCCGGAGTGTAAAGTGATAATTTGCTTCTATGAAAATAATTTGATATTTTTTTATTTTTTCCATTACCTATTTTATACATTGAGCTTGATATTCTCTTGACAATAAAAAATCAATATGTAAAATTATTTTTATTGGTTACATAATTGTTAATTATGTATTATTCTTAACAATAATGAAGGAAAAACACAGCAAGCTGGTATCTGATGAATGAGATGTTTCAAGTGACTACTGGTCCTATTCATATTCTAGGAACAGCAGTATTTTAAGTCTTTCTATGAAACTCCTACTGCCCTATTTGCCTACAAAAGATCTGATAAAAGATCAATTTCACTCTGTCTTGAGTTATAACATTTTTGATATAGAGAAAAATAATAAAATCATATATATATATATATATATATATATATATATATATATATATATATATATATATATATATATATATGAAAAACAAGGTTTTATTTACATTAGGCAAGATATACACCTTTAGGCATTATTTGTTAGTTGGAATTGGCTTATACTTCCTGTCCCTTTTCTCCTTGAAGCTTTTGATATAGATTTATCTCCTGTGCGTCACATGTTGAATTTCTCTATGAAGTGACCAGCAGTAGTCTCCCATCATATTGATGTTCCAGCAGCCTAGGTAGCGTTTTTCTATTACTTTGATGTCTTGATGGAAGTGCTCTCCTTCCTCCTCACTTACATCACTCAAATTGTCCAGAAAGTAGTCATGGCGACAGTTCAAAAAGTGTTTTTTTACACTCATTAAGCAACCTAACTTTTTTAAATTTTCTACCATGTTGGCAACAATGGAAACATATTCCTGTCCTTTTTCGTTTCTCAGGAACTTTGTTACAACTTGCTTGAATGATAACCAAGCTTCTTTCTCATTTAATATCAATTCTGATTCAAACTTCAAATTGAACATCAATTTGCGAATGTCTGGCTCAACAAACACACTTTCTATCAGTTATGTTTCTGCTAGATGTGGAAATTTTTCACCGTGATAGTTGAAGCATTTGGTCTTCATCAGGATTGAAGAAAGACAAAACAACCAAAATTATTAAAAACTAAAAGAATATGAGAACAGAAAATATGTTGTCGACTAATAAATAAGAAGTGAATAAAAATGAAAAATATACGAGTAGTGTATGTAATGGTAAGGTATGAAAATATAAGTAAGCTATAATGAAAAATTAATTAAATGATGAAGAAATGAAATCTAATATTAAGTAAAATAGATACATCAGAGATATAAAATGAATAAGATTTGGTAATTTTTGTAAAATGATGACATAATATGTTCAGTAGAAATAAAGTAACATAGAATGATGGAATTCTAAAACATGAAAATAAAAATAAAATGAAGAACATAGAACAAGTGAATAAAAATAAACTATGTAAATGTCATATAAATTCAGTAGAAATAAAGTAACATAGAATGATAATAACTATATGAGAAGGAGTTAGTCGGGGGTGCGGTCAAATAAATACTAAATTAAAATATAGTAATTATTTTTATTTTTTGCTGACGTTTCGACCCACTTTGCAGGTCATTTTCAGGGCTACAAAAGATACAAAACATGTTGAAAATAAAAAATAAATATAAGTAAATATAAAATAAGAAGAAGTTGTCAGATACAGAAATAAAAGATATCAGAGATATAGTGGGTAACAATGTAGTTAAATATTATAATATAATAATAACTTTAGGATAATAATGATGACAAGCTGAGGATGAAATATCAAGTATATGAATTTTGTAAATGAGTAAGTAAAAAATAATGAGATGTAATGATATCGATAGAAATACATCTAATTTTTTTCACAGTAAAGTATCGAAAAAGAGTAGGAGATGGCAAAGATCTGAAAAGAAAAGAAGGAATGATTTAAATAAAAGATAAATGTGTGAAGATAAATACACCTAATTGGTGCTTGATTCATATATTTTTCTTTTTATTCCCTTCTTATAATTTATTTATTAGTTGACAACATATTTTTTGTTCTCATATCCTCTTGCAATTGCTGGCCAAGAAGTATACATATCACTTTTAAGTCACTACATTTCATCTAGTCATGAGCGGAATAGTCTCTTTTATTTATTCTTTTATTTATTTCAAAGTTTTTATAGTTTTTATTCATATTCACAGAATGATCATGGCAAAGATGCATAAGTGTTATCATTATGTAATAGAACAGCCTTTAAGCTACTTTTAGAATAATCTATAAACAGCTTCCATTCATCTTGTTATATTCTATGCCGAACTTGTTCCTCAAACCAGAAATATCTGAGCTGTACACTAAATCATTTTCTTGTTCAAAAAAACTGCTTCTTTCTTTTTCTATATGCATGAATGTTGGTTCCTACTACCAGCAAGTTCTTTAACATAGAACCTAGAAATTCAGCCTTTTCTTTTGTTAAACTTTAATTCCTAACCAAATCATTTAGCTTGGTTTGAGTGAACAACTTAGGTTCTTAATTTTCTACTGTATGTTGAAACTTGTCATCAGAATCTGAATCAGCTTTTGCATTAGTAAGTATATCTAAGATTACATTAGCAAAATTCTCTGGAGGTTAAGAGACAGTTAGATCTGGACTATGGCATTCTGGCCAAATGGCAGATGGAAGGTTAGGGTACCTTATTACTTTTTGAATTGTACCCAGTAACATCAACACTACTTAAGTAACAATCATCAGAATGGCTCCTTGGCTCTCTTCATATCATTGGAACAATGTGGGCGGGGTGGCCGAATGGGCTAAAGCATGTGCACAGCACTGCCGTTGCTCGGCAACCTGACATATGAATCTAATGATATAAAAATAGTCACGAGTTCGCGTCCCGGTGCTGAAGGAGTCTTTTGGGGCAGGGTGGTCAAATGGGCTAAAGCGTGTGCACAGCACCGCGAGTTTCCCGGCAACCAGATATATGAATTTTGAGAGACAAAAATAAGTACGAGTTCGCGTCCCGGTACCGGAGAGGATTTTAAATTCCCTGCCCTCACCCTCCGGCCCGGGAAAATTCCGTATAGCCTAAATGGCAAGGTAGGGAAGAGGGGGGAAAAAAAAATATATCATTGGAACAGCAAATCTGAATTCTTGCTGCTGCTTTTTTTACCATTTCCTAAGCTTTCAACACACAGATAACATTGCTTATGCGGTACCCAAGATTTATCTTAAACACCCAAATATTAGAAATATGATTTCACGAACTCTGTTATGTTTTTATGATGTTATTTTATCACATATGCACCAAAAATATAACAGAAAATGTTAGCAACGTTTTTACAACCATGTTTAGACATTACACTGAGCACATGCACTTAATGATAGAAAGTAAGGTTATGTTCTCTGTGAATAAACATGAGCAGTGCACCCAAGGTTTTTTCCAGGGTTATATACACAAAACTCCTCCCATCTGCTGAGAGGGAAATTGGTAGGTATCAGGCTGGTTTCAGAAGGGGTTGATCTATGATTGATCTGATATTCAGCATCAGAATAATCCTATAAAAATCACATGAGCACCAGAAGATTACCCACCTCCTGTTTGTTGATTTTTGAAATGCGTATGTCAGTATAAAAAGGTCTAAGTTATATGCAGCCCTCTGTGAAATGAGAATACTGTTAACACTTCTCTGCCTAATCAGGATGACAATGGATGATGCGAGGTGTTTTGTTATGATACAGTCAGACATTTCACCAGAGTTTGTTTCTGCAAGAGGTGTCATGACAAGGGTGCTAGCTTGTCTGCTATCAAATTTAGCTTCAGAAAAGGTCATTCGGGACTCGGAATACAGACATCAGACACTATTCAAGTACTTGGTTTTGCAGATGATCTTAATCTCATTGCTGGATCATTCCATTCACTCAAAAATGAGTTTCTTAAGTTGGGCAAGGTGGAAATGATTGTTAATCAAGAAAAAAACAAATATTTGCGAGCAGAGCAAGAACCAGTACAGATGGGTCCATTTACTTTCCATCATGTGGAGGAGTTTAAGTATCTTGAATCAATGATAAAAAATGGGAGCAGAATTTCTGTGGAAATTTGTCAATGACTCATTAATGCCAATAAATGCTATTTTGGCCTGAACAAACATCTTAAAAGTGCATCATTGTCCTGCTCTACCAAGTTTCAATTGTATAGGACCCTCAACAGGCCTGTCCTTACTGCTCGTTGTCTTGAACTCTCACAAGTTCAGAGGAAAAGATCCTTCTTATTTTTGAAAGAAAAATCTTTCACTGTATATTTGTAGCTGTGAAGGAGGGTAACGATTGGAGATGGAGGACAAATGCATAGGTTTATGGGCTCTTCGGAAGAGCGGATTTAATGACGTATATAAAACTGGGTAGATACGTTATGCTGACAGCATTGTACGGATGCCATTAGAAAAGATCCCAAGGAAGTTGCTGAATGGGAGACTGTACACGACCAGAGGAAGAAGCAGGCCTCGATTAAGATAGGATATAGTAGCAAGGGATGCACGGGAGCTGCTGGGCACACGCAACTGGTGAGAGGCTGCCCATCTATCCTAAATTGACTCGGTGAAGACTCATTGAGAAGGCCAAGGGCCGCACCGGTCTGTAGTGCCATAAAGTAGTAGTAGTGCTCCCAATTTCCTTGAACTGTTTTTAATGTTTTAGATAGTTATATAAATCTCCATTTGAACTATTTATTGTGAATTTAACTGTATCAGAACTACTTTAAGTAATATATAAATATATTGCCATAATAATGTATGTAATATGTTACTTTAAGTAATATATAAAAATCAATTTAATTTGCCTAAAAAAACCTATTTATTAAATTATTTAACTTAAAAATGTGAAAAGATTGAGAATCGTACAGCTTTTGAAGTGTCATATTTGGATTTCTTGCACTAGATAGATAGATAGATTATTGGCTAATATGTACACCTTTTAGCCATGGAATTTGGCCCATTTGGTGTTAGTAGTTGTTGTTAGTATGACAATGAAAGCATACATAAGCAGATATAAAAAATACCTTTACATAGGTAAATTCCTATTGCTTACTATAACATCTTAATATAATTTAATAATAAAACAAATTAAATTTTTTTTTATTCCTAATAAATAATTCAATAGTTATTCCTAAAACAACATAAAAAAGTGTACATCTTAATATAATTTAAAAATATAATGAATTAACGTTTCAAGCCTCACCCTTGACCATGCTCTTGTTTTTGGTATTTTTAAGTAGAATCGATTTGTTACACAAATTAAGTAGATTTTTTGTTACTTTAAGTATATATAGTTTTTAACAAAAAGAGATAGATCTTATTTAGTTTATCCACACTATCAATATTTAGAAGATTTTATAAGGATGATTATTTACTGTTTTGAACAATATAATTTCCTAGGTAATTTTCCCTGTCAATACTCATTGTGGGACATAGCAATAACAAGTGTTCTAAGTTTTGGGAGATATATTCTTGACGCCATCTACATTATTCCCCTGTTTTTATAATACAAGTAGCATTCTTGATTTCTTGCACTGAAACCCATTAAAAAAATATATTTTCATTTTAAAAGTTCTAATATGTTATGGTTAATAAATGCTAATGCCTTTAACATGACAAATATTTCTTTCTTTTTAATATTTGACATTTTTCTTATCTGTTGGACAGGTATGAAGCTTTTGACTTCCACAGAGAATGTTCTAAGCTAAGGTATGATAGATTGAAGATTCTCATAGATCGCCTGGCCTATGATTTAGAACAAATGTCGGTGACTATGATTGTTGGAGATGGAACTGTTGTAAGCAAATATTTATTAATAAAAAAAAATTGAAATGTTACTCTTTTTGAATGCTTAGCAAATTATAGTTATAGTTTCGAGTTGTCCCGAAAGTCCATCATATACCACACAGCCATAGTCGAAGTGGGGGAAAACAAGAGTTAGTCGGGTCTAAAACCGGATTGGTGGCAGTTTCAGAAGGTAATTTTGCTTGATATAGTGAGATAATTGGGATTGAACTAATCATTCTAAAGGTTTGGAAAGCTTAGATAATAGGAAAATTAGGCGAAAATCATAAGGGGTTGTGGGATTAGTGGTTTTATTCAGTGGTCAAACATGAGCAGTTTCCAGGTATTTGGGAAAGTAAACTCTGCAGTGAAAAGTTATAAATATTGTAAAGAATAAAGAGAATAGGTGGAAGTTAGGATTTAATCAATTTAACTGGGATGTTATCGGGTCCGAAATCATTGGTGTGTATTTATGAATGGATTTAAGGAGGTCGTCAGGGGTAATATGGGAAAAGAGATGAATAGAAAGAGGAAGTTCGCTCCTTGAAAAAGACCTCTAACACATCAACTCATGATTTCCGTCCGATTTCCATTCTTTCAAACCTCTCCAAACCTCTGGAGTAACTAGTCCAATCCCAGCTATCCCATTTTTTAGAGCAGAATAATCTCCTAAAACCCTACCAGCCCGGTTTCAGCCCTGGCTATTCTACTCAGTCTGCCCTAATCAAAATTTCCCAAGACCTTCATGTAGCCATAGATCAGCAGAAACTGACCATCCTTATTCTCCTTGACTTCTCCAAAGCTTTTGATTCAGTAAACCACAACATCCTCCTAACCAAATTTAAAAATACCTCCTTTTCTTCTAGTGCCCTTAATTGGTTCCAATCTTTCCTTACAGTATGTTGTAATCCCTAACAATCCCCCATCAGAATCTTTACCCTTGTCCAGAGGTGTCCCACAAGACTTCCTTATCCCTCACCCTTTTTTCCATCTATATAAATGACCTCCCATCCTCTATCCTGCACTGTCAATACCAACTGTATGTCGATGACGTTCTATTTTATCTTTCCTTCGATCCGGCTGAATCCTCCAATGCTATATTTAAACCACAGAACAACATCAATAGAATATGTGCTTGAGCATATCTCAATTAGCTTTCTTTAAATGCCAAGAAAACAAAAGCCATCCTGAAAGGATCCCCCTCACTCCTCAAACCCATTACAGTACCTCCCAATTTTCTCCTGAACAATTCACCTATCTCCTTCCATACTACCGGTAAAAACCTTGGTCTTATCTTTAATCAAACCCTTTCCTCAAAACCACACATCTCCCAAATTTCTCATTGTACTATTTCCAGCCTGAAACAGTTCAACCCTCTACGATATCTCCTATTTAGAACCCGTCAACTTCTTGTTTCCTCTCTTGTTTTCCTCCACTTCGGCTATAGATGTGTGGTGTATAGCGGACTCTTGGGAGAAGCTAAACTTAAAAATCTAATGAATTGCTCAATACGCTTTGTTGTCGGAATCTCAAGAGATATGCGTATTACCCAGTATTACACCAAATTGAAATGGCTCTATCCGCCCTACTGCTGTCAGTACTTCCTTGCTATCTTCCTATACCAGGTTATTAGATCTTAGTGACTCTCCTATATTTTTTACACTTTACTATTTAAATACTCCATTCAATCCCATACTACTAGGTCTCATGCTTCCGACTTCTATCCTCCTCCTCATCGAACTGCTGCATTTGATAAATCCTTTGCAATTCAAGCCGTCTCCCTCCGAAATTCTATCCCTCCTAATATTCGAAACGCATAATCAGTTTCCTCTTTCAAACCTCTCCTCTCTAAATACATACTCCTTTCTCAATCTGACTGACTACAAAATATACAATATATAAGTATCCTCAGACACTATTTCTGTTTATTTACGTTATTTTAGTTTCCTATGTTTGTTTTATATATGTACGCTTTTCTTTTTCTTTCTGTATTTTTACTGTTAATTAATTATTATTGTAAATATTAAATTTATTTATGGCCACACAGTCATGCATTCTGTACTTATAATTTGTTCTAATGATAAAGGGACAACAGTCTCAGAGTAATAAAGTATATTTTTATTTCATTTCACTAGATGAATATTAGACAGCTCTAAATTTACTAAATGCTGGGACCCCAAATATTGATGCAGACTATGCTACATTAACTGAAAAATGGGAAGATACACCACTGTAATATTTATAACAATCTAAAAATGCAGCTAAAGTAGTGCATCAAGCCTTGGCTCAGAAGCTGGAACTGAGGAATAACTATTGTCCATATTATAAATATCCTGAATTAATCATCTCCAAGCATAATGTCTAACTATTCTAGAATCAACCTATACTTACGAATCATACTCTCCCCCACAATAGGCCTAACATTTTAATAATAGAGGAAGAAAAGAAAATGAAAATAGTGTCTATTATAGAAATTGGAGTACCTTCAGATAATAATCTGCACAAGGTAGTGAAGAAAATATGTAGAATTGGCGGAAGAATCAAAACAAGTGTGTGATTTAAAGGAAAGCCGGATTTTACCATTGGTGATTTCATGCTATGGATTTATACCTGAAGAATCTCAATTTTCTTTGCGTGAGCTGGCATTGCTGTTTATGACTATGGAAAAAATACAAATAGCATTATTGTTTGGAAATTTACAAGTATAAAATAATTACAAAAAAAAAAGGTCTATTTTAGTGCAAAATTGATCAAAAAAAGATCCTAAAGGATTTTGTATTTTAAATCTACTACTCAAAGTCGGCATAGATCTTTTGAGATCTGAGTTTTCTCTTAAACAGAAAAAAAAAAAGGATAAATCCCTAAAATCTGAGCCCTATTAAAATTATCTGTGTAAAAATTAATAACTCATCTTTCGGCATTGTTGCATCCAAATGCTATGGTCCTATTTATTTTATAAATCCCAATAAAACCTTGTTGATACAATATTTAATCACAAACATATAAATACAAGAAATAAGAAAACCTCTCTGACTGGAATACCGGTTGATACCCTGAGTGTGGGAGCACCTTGACATAATTTTCTTCCCACCATGGCCATTCTAATTTATTGTATACTCAATGATTACATGTGATGGGTTTCAGGTGCCCAGAAGATGGATGGCGCAAGTTACGCCATAACAATTTTTAAAGGGCCACATTTTAACAGGGTTAGGAATTTTTGGGGAACCATATTTTTTTTAGTTTTAATTTGAAGATACTTCCAAACCAGGGAACACGAGGAAAAACATGGAATGAACAGCCATAGTAATCATTAATGATTTATAATTTTTCTACTTATACTTATTATACTTTTGCTTGCTCTTTTTTTAAGAAATGAAGAGCAATACAATTCTTGGGTGCTGGGGTTGATGGAGGAACATAAGGAGGATGGGCATCCCTTTTGGGTTTCCCCATGTTATATATGGGTTGTGTATATATGTATATATATATATATATATATATATATATATATATAAAAATATATAAAATCAGTCAATGCTAAATCAATTAATGCTCTTAACATTTTATCATTCCTTTAAATGTAGTACATTTGTTTTCTGAATGCATTGAAAAGATAACATTTTTGATATTTTTCAAATTCAGTTCTCTTTGTAATATATTCTGGAAAAATAATTTACTTTTCAACTATTTCCTTTAATATCATAAACTTGAATGACTGGGTGTAATCTTTATAGTTAAGATCCTTTATTGTATTTTATTTTATTTTTTTAAATTCTAGATATCTCAGCAGGAAGGTGTATTCAGGACAAATTGTATTGACTGCCTGGACAGGACTAATGTGGTTCAATCGTTGTTGGCTAGGGCCAATCTTACATATATTTTACAGGTACCTTTTGTATTCTTGTATTTTTTATGACACTAATCAAATATATATATATATATATCAAACATGATATTTTGTGGAACCAGATGAATAGAAAATACCAGGAATTGGAATTAATGCTTATTTTTCTTTCCAAGTGAGATTGCACCATTGGATTTATATTAATTTATTTCATTTTTTTGGGTTTATTAAATTTAAGGGTTGTTTTTAAAAATGATATAGGTTATGAGGTTGCACAATCCCATATAGGTTCATTTTTGCTTTTTGTATTTCCTCAATATCAAGCAAAAATTATTCTTAAGTTTCAGAGACAATGTTTTTAAAAGTAATTTTGATTTTTATATTGCGCTCTCATGTATCGATTAATTTGAACTTTGCGGATATCTTCAATATAATGGCCAATTCTTAAGCTTTTGGAAATGTAGTTTTAAAAAGTAATACAGAATTTAAGATCAAACATTCAACTATCAAGTTATTATAACTTTTTCTCAAATCTTAATTATCATTGGTGTCCTTTATTAGGTTATCAAAACCTATTTTAAAGCATATCAATTTATTTTAACTTTTTGGTTTTTTTCTATATAAAGTACTTTCTTATGTTTTTGGAGGCTTATTTTTTCAATACAACATAGATTTTAAGAATTCACCATCACTTATTGATTTATATATATTACAGAATAAGCCAGGAATTTCTTGTAAATTTTCTTCAAGCCTCCAAAGTTGTCGTTAGTTATTATCTTTAATACCTTCTTTCAATTTTCATTGACTGTGGGTCTCATAATTTTGGCTATTTATATTTTCTCTTCTTGATTTTTTAGAAGTTTGAAAAGATTTTTTCTTTTTAGGTAACAAAACAAAAAAAGAAAAAATCTTTTTCTTTTTTTTTTTTTTTTTTTTTTTTTTTTCTTTTTAGGTAACAAAACAACCTCGCGCGGGCTCATTACCGCGTATGGGGAGCGTCCCACGGGTGGCGGATGTGGGGATGGTCGGTGGAAATTTCTTGGAAGTTCCTCCCGGCTAAGTCCGATGGACTCGCTGACCAACAATGAGAGGGGCCCTCCAGACTTGCTGGAGGGAGGGGACCTCCAGACTTGCTGGAGGTAGGGGCCCACCAGACTTGCTGGAGGGTGTGACGTAGGATTGAACGCCCTACTCACATATCTTTAGTTCACCAAACACCACAAAAAGTCATGGATCTTCCTAAGGTAAAACGCTCATTATCCGGAAGTAAACTAGTCCCCCGTTCGGGTCTCCGGGTGGGGACTGCTTTAGGGGATTCATGGCGCAAGTTGAAATATAGGGATTTAAATATTGGTACGTGGAACGTAAGGAGTTTAAACACAGCAGGGGGGCTAAAATCGGTCGCGAATGAGGTAAATGGGTACAATTTGGATGTCGTGGCTCTGCAAGAGGTTCGCTGGCCAGGGGAGGGCTCGATGAGGGAAGGGAAGTACACTATTTGGTACGGAGGAAGCGAGAATCATTGTTTAGGTACCGGGTTTCTAATTAGGCGTAGATTACTATCCGCTTTGAGGGACGTACAATTCTTTAGTGATAGAATTTCGGTAGCTACATTTCAGGGACGTTGGTTTAAAATCGCATTAATAAACATACATTGTCCGACCGAAGACAGTGACGATGAAGTCAAAAGTGAATTTTACGATAAACTCGAATGGGTTTATGATAAACTACCACGAAACTACATGAAAATAATTGTAGGTGACGCGAACGCAAAGGTAGGAAGGGAAGAAGTTTATATTCCGACGATTGGTAAAGAAAGTTTGCACGAATATAGTAATGATAATGGGATCCGTCTGATAAACTTTGCCATCTCGAAAAACCTGATAATTAAAAGTACGACGTTTAAACATAAGGATATTCATAAATATACTTGGACATCACCGGATTCGCAAACACGAAATCAAATCGATCATGTCTTGATACAACACAGCTGGCAAAGTAGTATAATGAATGTACGGTCTTATCGCGGAGCAGAATGTGGATCGGATCATGAATTAGTAATCGCGAAACTTCGACAAAAACTTAATATAAAAAAGAGAAAAGAAAACCGTTTCGATTTTGAGAATTTTAATTTGGAAAAATTAAAAAATCCATCAATTAGAAACCAATTCGAGCTAGATGTTAAGAATAGGTTTGAAGCTTTAGAGCTTCCTGACGAGGACCACGAGGATATTGACAAGTTATGGATAGAGATCAGAGATAATATTAAAGCGGTCGGTAACTCGTGTCTAGGAAAAAAGGAAAATAAGAATAACAAACCGTGGTTTGATGAAGATTGCTTAAACATGTGTGAAAAAAGAAAAGCCGCTAAATTAAAAGCTCTAAATAATCCTAGCGAAGACAATCTGGAATACTTCCGAATCTCAAAGAACGAAACGACAAAATTGCTCAAAAATAAAAAAAGGGAGTATCTTAAAAATAAAATAATTGAAATAGAAACTAATAGAATCGAAAATAACGTAAGAGACATGTACAAAGGTATAAACAGATCACGTAAATATGTAGGGCCCGTAACGTCTGGAATTAGGGATGATAATAACAATATTCTGACCGATCCGGTTGACATATTGAATAAGTTTAAGGACCACTTTGACAATATTTTAAATACGGGAAATTATGATCTGTGTCCCCCTTCTGAGTACCAGAGTGCTGAACCGTTAATAGAAGGACCAAGTAAAGAGGAAGTTGAAGTAGCTATCGGAAAATTAAAATCTTATAAAGCAGCGGGAACCGATAATATTCCTACTGAACTAATTAAGGCTTGCGGGGAAGCTGGAGTTTCTAAAATACATCGGTTGGTTAAAAAGATCTGGGTGAATGAGAAATTACCTGAAGAATGGAAAGAATCTATTCTTATTCCGATTCACAAAAAGGGTCCGAGGACGGATTGTAATAATTATCGAGGAATTTCACTCCTTCCGGTATGTTATAAAATATTCACTTTAATCTTAACCAGTCGAATCACGGAATACGCCGAGGAAATTATCGGAGACTACCAATGCGGATTTAGACGGAATCGTTCGACTATTGATCAAATATTTTCTTTACGGCAAATATTAGAGAAAAAATTGGAGTATAACGGTATTGTTCACCAGCTGTATATAGATTTTAAAAAGGCTTACGATTCTATTGACCGCCAGAAATTGTATAATATTCTAATCGAGCAGGGGATTCCAAAAAAATAGTAAATCTAGTCAGGATGTGCTTGACGGAGACACTCAATAAAGTTAGAATCGGTAATAATTTGTCCGAAAAATTTGAGGTTCGTTCGGGCTTAAAACAGGGGGATTCTCTTTCGCCTGTCCTGTTCAATTTGGCATTAGAACATGCCATTAGAGAGGTAATGCGAACCGAGAAAGGGTTGGATCTGGGCGGGACAACATCCGTGCTGGGCTATGCTGATGATCTGGTACTGTTAAGCGAAGACGTTGAAACTATAAAACTGAATACGACAACGTTAATGAAAGCCGGGAAAGAACTAGGACTCGAAATAAACGTGGATAAAACAAAATATATGGTTAGCTGCAAAAATGGCGATACTACTGGTGATATCGATATAGATGGTAATATGTTTGAACAGGTAGATAAATTTAGGTATCTAGGTTCTACGATAACTAGAAAAAACGAAATTGAAGAAGAGATTAAGGTTAGACTGAAGGCGGGGAACGCTTGTTATTTTTCTGTGACAAAACTACTTAGTTCGCGCCTCTTGTCCCGAAACTTAAAAATTAGAATCTATAAAACAATTATCTTACCTACAGTTCTTTATGGATGCGAAACTTGGCCGCTTACATTAAGGGATGAGCAGCGTCTTAAGGTTTTTGAAAATAAAGTATTGCGTAGAATATTCGGACCGAAAAAGGATGAGTTAACCGGAGAGTTCAGACGGTTACACAACGCCGAATTGCGTGAGATGTATCCGGGTAATATAATTGAGGTAATTTCATCGCGGCGAATCAAATGGGCTTGTAAAGTTGTTGGGCTTAGTAACGAGAGAATTCCTAAAAGGTTAATATTTGCTGTGCCGAATGGTAAGCGTCCGAGGGGTAGACCGAAGCGAAGATGGGAGGATTGCATTAAAGCCGATCTGAAGGGACTGGGTTTGGACGGCGAACGGTGGAGGGAGGTGTGTAACAAGCGATTGGTGGTGTCGGCATCGAACCTTCGGGTTCGCTAAGCCTTATTATTATTATTAGGTAACAAAACAAAGTCTTCTATATGATATATTTTTTATCATATGTTTTGGGGTTATATCCCCATTTTCAATACTTCCTATTAAAAAAAAACATTGTCAGTTATTATATATTGTATATATATAATATATAATGACTGATATATAATATAATATAAAAATATAATAACTGACATATATATATATATATAACTCTGTTCTATGATCTTGTTATTCTGGGGTGTAATTATTCTATCTCAATCTTTGTTAACATACCTATTTAAATTTATAAGTGCAGTTAATTAAAAAAGATACTTTTGATTTAGTTATTATTATAAGTGTTTATATTACTTAAAATATCTAAAAGCATTTTAACATTAAAATTATTCTTATTGTTTTACTTATTAAGCAAGCGATTTAAAAACTTGAAAAATATGAAATAATTAGGTTAGACACAATCATTCTTACCAATATGCCTTTAGATTACTGCTAAAAACTTCTTGGGTGATAAATATTCAGGACGCAGTCGTTATAAAGCTTTTATTGGTGCCGACGTTTCAACCCAAACATGTGTGTCATCATCAGGGCTGAAAAATTGTTTAATACATTCAGATATATAATGTTATACGACAGATAATGGTAATAATAACAAAAAAGCGGTTGATGATACATAAAATAGACAAATGAGATATGTGAAAAGTTATATAAACTTAAAATAATGAATTTATAAAAAATGTAATATTCACTCTTACTAACCGTGTTTCGAGCACTGAAGGTATTCAAGTACTGTCATATTGGTAGGTAAGTAAAA